TAGCAGACAGGCAGGCAGACACACAGGTGTCAATAAAAAAGACATTGAGTTTTGTCTGTGACAACGACATATCTATATCACAGTTAGAAATTCTGTCAACCCTAAATAATGACATTGCTTTTAAGTATCGAACTGAGAAAGTGACTCGGTAACACAAAAGGCATTTGAAACCACCATACAAGGAGCGAATCCATAGTCACAAATTAACTGTCACTAAACAGGGATTTACCCGTGAAGGTCTGGGTTAGAATGAGCCTTCAGTAACCCATGCTTGTTGTAAGAGGCGACTTACGGGATCGGGTGGTCAGGCTCGCTGGCTTGGTTGACACGTCATCGGTTCCCAATTGCGCAGGTCGATGCGCATGCTGTTGATCACTGGATTGTCTGGTCCAGACTCGATTATTTACAGACCACCGCCATAAAGCTGGAACATTGCTGAGTGTGGCGTAAAACTAAACTCACTCACTCACTAAACAGGGATTTACAGGACTCAAATTCCTGCGTCCTATATGCATAAAAATTGACAATGGATCCAACGAAATTTATTAGCACATCCACAGGGATGCAGTCCAAATACTTTTTGTATAAATTCCAATCAAGTAGCAATAACTTATCACTGAGTTTGCTTCTAGCTGGGTTATGGTATCATTTGCTATTTAATTACTGTAACAATGTGATGATCATGATACACAATACAATAACAGTATTAATAATAATATTTAAGTGTCTGGGACCCCCATTTTGTACTCCAGGACCCCTGAAAATTAAGAATGTGAGTCCCAGGGACCCTCAAATACAGGAACCGAGGTAAAACGCTGACTAAATTAAATTACTAAAACTTCATATATCAACTTTTACCATGACATTCGTCATTAAAACACCACTTAGAATTAATTACCCTATCATGTTTATTAGTTTTTGTGTATCAATTGCAAATATAATTATAATTTTGAGATTTCAAGCATAAAAATGGCTCTTAGTATCATTTTCATTACCTTGAGTGTTTTCAAATGGCATTTTATGATCTGATCTTACGAGACCGAACACAGTTTTACTAGACTATAGCGTACTGCAACAGCTATGTAAAATTCTGTTTATCATTCAGCAAATGCATTGTTTGCAGTGAGATCAACTAATGAGGAATGAAAAATTACATTTTCTCTAGCCCAAGGGACTTGATGGCAATCACGAGAGAGAGAAGCCAAGAAATATGCATGACATTATTTCCTTCTGGAAACAAACTGCAAATTCGATTTCGTTATCCTCTTGCTTAAGGCAAAATCAAACTTATATCAAATGTCTGAGATATCCTATCCCTAACTACCGTCAAAATTTCTAGTTTTTTCTAAAATCCATACCTAACATGTCAAGCTATTCACTATAAGTAAGTTTGTGTAAATAACTTGCTCTTACCACTGAAATTTAGTGTATATTCACATGAACAAAAAACCATGCAAAACTTATGAAATATGCTGTTGCATTTAATTCATTAACTGTAACAAATAAAAGTTAACATAATATATATATATCAACATCAGCAACTTGTGGGAATGTCATTGAAGTGGATCACAAATTCAAATGTGTTGACGTAAGGCTCAGAAAGCCCATTTTATGTAGTTTTTACCTGAATATGTACATGATGCTACAACTGCCTTCCAACAATGGACAGATGGATAGGGTGAGTGATTGATTGAGTTTAGTTTTACGCAGCACTCGGCAATATTCCAGCTATATGGCGGTGGTCTGTAAATAATCGAGTCTGAACCAGACAATCCAGTGATCAACAGCATGAGCATCGACCTGCGTAATTGGGAACCGATGACATGTGTCAACCAAGCCAGCGAACCTGACCACCCGATCCCATTAGTCACCTCTTACGACAAGCATGGGTTACTGAAGGTTCATTCTAACCCGGACCTACATGGGTTCACAGATGGATAGGGAATATTCATGAAGTCACAGTTATATATTTTGAATCAGAATCCAGAATTATGAAATATTTCATTCCATATCAGTATGTGGGTGATAGACTTCTAAACTAACTAGTCCTGGAGAATTATTTTTGAATTTATAGAAAAATTAACTCGCATGTCATAGTGTTACTCAAATCATGTTGAATTAATATATAATTAAAACAAATAGCTTTACCTATATCTACCTAATTTCAAATGTCTTCACTTCACTTTCAAGATTTATTTCACGATGCAAGTCATAGAAGGAGATATCAGTAATAGATTGAACTTGAAGAAAATAAAGTTCTTACTAGAATAGTAATGTCAGTTGTAACAAGTGATCTGCCATCCTGATTAGATTGTATGATTCAAATGGACATATATTTTAGTTCCCCAAGGAAAGTGTTCAGTCAATTTGTTTCCATTCTCAATTTGTATGCATAGAGGATGCAATATTTTGTACTGAGTACAACTCTCCATCAAACAAGTATGTGACTAACATCACAAGCATAATCCCATGTTTAATGACACCCTGTCCTTATGCTTGTTGTAAAAGGCGATTGTAGCTCATGCTGTTGATCACTGGATTGTCTAGTCCAGACTCGATTATTTACAGACCGCCACCATTTAGCTGGAATACTGCAGAGTGCAGCGTTAAACAACAAACCAACCAACTCTCTTTACTTCAATCATATTTTGCATAATTTCTTAATTCAACCCATGTGTATTTGAAAACTGCATACAAATCAATGCATCACATAAAACCCTACAGATGTGTAGTGAGTGATTGTCAAACACAAGAAAACTGGATTTCAGTTAATATTGAGTGATATCAGATTGTCAGACAAATGTCATGAACCCTTTTAGATTAAATGTTTCATAAAACAGTTGAGCAATGATGGCTAATGGATCATAAACAAAACTGTGAGATAAACCAAATTTAAAACAACAACTGAACCTACAATATCATGATTAGTCAGCAACAAACAGTCAAAGCAGATTCGAAAACCGTTAAGTACAGGGATTATTCTAGAACTCCTCAAATGTCAGTAAACATTCTCTAATTTATATTAGGAATTTGTCAAGTCATGGTTTTAGCATGATCATCAATATACAGAGGTGACTTGCATATCTCGGATTAAACAACCAATGAACGGAATAGGCTTATGTTTAGTTTGCAGTCATCAACCCCACAAGTTTGACAAAAAACTTAAAATGATAAGACAGGGCACTTTTGGTAATAGCTCACTATCCACATAATGCTCAGTCATGCTTTATCAGCACACATTACAGACAGTTTCAAAACACAGCAGTTGCTAGGTGACTAAGAGTTCCAAACAGCTTGCTCAGCATTGTTTATTCACTGAACTGCTTTTTTAGTGAGGAATTGCATGATATTTCACCTGTCAATAGTTTCTCTGTGGTCTCTCGCTTATCATTAGCTATAAGATATTCTGATAGTGTTCATTAGTAAACATGATAATAGTAAAGCATTAAAATGCTGTATTTCCTGCTGGATTAAAATAAAGAGATTTTATAAGTTATATCCCACTGGGACTTTCCATACTAATGGTTGAAAGATGAACATATCTTTGATATTATTTCAATATGATTAGATGTGATAGGGTTAGTAGCCGAATCATCATTTTACCATGTTACAGGTCCTCTGCTTGATGTACAGAATACATGATATCAATTACTGTATCCAATATGTCTGTAACAGCTGCACCAGACATTGAATGGACACAGTTATGTCAAATTCACACAGTTATTTTGTGTGTGCATCAAATACTGTTTGATAAACCAGTCACCTCACATGTGAGGTTTACATGGCAAATTACAATTTCCTGATGTAAGAAACTTTTAAGGTACATGTACAATAAGTGAGTTAGAAGTTTAACGTCACAGGAGAATTATCTCAGACATAAACTGATGAAGAATGTTGAACAAAATATAAACTTGACCAAGTTGACAAATATTCTGAATGTGTGTATTGTTAGGTAACCAAGCTATGCAAACTGCACCATGAGTGTTTTGACAGTGAAGGTGGGTGATACTCAAGATGCCATATGACTTCCATTTGTAAATTTCTTGCCTTTACACTATTGATGTTCAATCAATGGTTAGAGTTGATAACAGAAACTGAGATATGGCAAAGTCAAAACCATAATCTTAAAAGTCCTGCTATTCAAATACTGTATTACAAACCCCAGTTACCTCCATTTTAATATCTAATGCAGTTATTGCCCATTAAAACATATTCATATTTCTATATAGAAATATATGTATGGGGCTGGAAGATTATTATGCATATATAAAACTTTCATGACTAAGCTTTTAAGAGTCACTTTTATTCTTCACTGGTGTGACGTTCATGCAGGTGAATGTGCAAACTGTTATCAAATGATAAAAGTGTTTTGATACTGTTGTCATTCGCCACAACAAAACATTACAGACAAAATGAATCAAATGTTTACAGTACGGTCGCACATTATTTACAATCCTGTGAGGGAATTACCGTGCCGAATTCCCTTCCTGATTGTGACTGTGAGTGTAACATTGTCAGGATATGCTCGCCTTCACAATCACCATGCAAATCAAAGTAAATCGGTTTGTCCAGGAAGTCAGTGAAAAAAAATGCCATTCTCTATTTCACATTGAAATTTTGTTTGATTGTGCTGTGTGAGATTACCGCAATTCGCTTTCCGACAAGCGAGTCCCCTCCCACCCAAGCTACGCGCAGTGAACAGCGTCCAGTTCACATCGTTTGCTAACTCCGTCCACTGTAAAGCACAAGCGTGCATTACAGAGAAATAAAATGAAATGCCATAGCAGACGCTGAAGATATCCCTTGGTGAACTTATTCCCTAAATCTCCTAAACGAACTCGAATATTACTGTAACGAGAGAGTCACTATTAGTGTAAGGCTAGTTCTGATATTTCGCCGAGTCATTTTCACTGACAGTTTCGTCCCTTGTGTAACTTTTGTAAGTCCAAGTTGTCACGCTCTAAAAACACAACATTTAGAAAACAACTGACAGTACTTACCGAAGCACCGAGCACGACAAACACATGGGAGGCACCATGGCCTTCCTGTTCCACAGAATCTCGAATGCGAGACAAAACTTCCTCCGTTGCTGGCGATTCCATGCTTGCCATACTAAAGCTGCAGACGAACTGAGCAGGAAGTAAATCTCACGTATGCGCTGTGTCTCACTGCGCCTGAGCCGAGCTCGTTGTATGGAACACCGTAGAGGACATAATTTTGAAAGCTGCCTTCGCTGCTGTGGCTAAAATATATCGGCTGTTGAGCGTTTCAAGAAATCACAAGTGATAGATTTATAATCTGTGTCCTGTTTTTGTGTCAGTCAATATGGGTCATTTGTATTATCATACATGACCTTGTTTTATATCAGGGAAACTAAATAAAGGACAATATTCTCGTTCTTTCCATTTAGCCATATTGAAGAGAATACAGTTACGACTTATTATAGCAAACTAGTGCAGATCTTAGCATGTTTACAAATAAAATAATTTACTTGCACACACGCGGGCAAACTTAAATATCCAGCTGTCCGTATTATTTTCTGGGAATCCCTCTGAATTTTCATTCCGACGTGAAATAATATTCTTAAATTAATTTTCCCCGCTGCTGTCGACATTTTTGCCCTTATGTGATGAAAAATACTCTCATTCTTGCACCGTCATTAAACAAAAGATCCTTTTAATATTTCTCCATCTACAATTATCAACAAAATGATTCTGAAGCAACGCGACTCGATCTACATTCTACATAATAAATTAGTTTACTGACTATTGCCAAGTGATCTAAATGGTAATATGAATTGCAAAATTAGGGGAAAATTATTTTCATTTTGCTCGCTGTTTTTGGGTTGCAGGTGACAAACACATAAACATATACTCTGGAGCCATTCCGTCGCCTCTGCTTTGTTTTCGTTGTTAGTTTTTAGCGGTGAGCATGACATGAATTTAGAATTAGGCGTTCAATCCATGAAATGGGTGTTCCTAAAAGTTGAAATACTCCTGGGTGCGTGTTGTGTTTTTAACCACTGCATGCATGGAAACTTCAGGTAGCATCGAGAGATCCATCCCCATGTCTCACAACTAGAGTAATATATATTCCAGCTTTAGCTTGATGAAAATACATCTTGTGATTGGACTAAACTCACCGAGGTCTCGCTTCTACAAGTTTTAAAAATTTGAACGATGATCTTTTTTAAATTCTGAATGTTGATTTTAATTCAAGAGGCATTGATAATGGGCTTTACTTTCACTGGTCGTATTTAAACAAATATTATTTCTATTTTACTGCGTCGAATTATAAGTTCTTAATTAGGATTTACAGTCTTTATTCTACAGAAAGTAGCAGATGTTGCGCTTCCATAGATTCAGATACGTCACGCATGTCCGGCTATGTTTTTGATCCTCCTACAAGATCCGCAACTATCGGACCAGGTATTTCAAGGTATACATATATGACCCAAAACAGCAACCGGATTCTGTAGAACATGTCCGTGTTCAACTCCCGGAAAACAATGTATGTCAAAGACAGAAGACATGAGAATATGTTTCATAAATTGACTCGCTGTATATAGTACATGTACATTTATGCTCAACAAAGTTAAGTATCACCCCAATATTCAATATGTAAGTATCATATGGATATATAGATCATAATACGAACTATTAAATACTTTAATATTGAAACTTGGGGTGGTCCTTAACTTTTTGTGTTGAGTATAGTTACTATACGTGGAAACTGTTTCCGGAGTAAATGAGCAGAAAGAATTTTAGTTACTTATCACCCCGTGTCACTTAAGTGGGGAAGGAGATAACAAAATGGTACAAAAAGTTTCTATATGATTCGGTGAGTGAGTGAGTGAGTGAGTTGGGTTTATGGCCGCTTTGAACAGTAGTACACTTATTTTACTACGTGTCAGCTCGAAGGGGGAGAAAATTCCTAAGTGACGTCTTTAATGACTACTACCTTAGTTTGTTTGTTTGAACATATTGTTTGAACATATGAACATTTGCAAACACCCAGTTGCGGGTACAGCAACGTGCAGTAAACTTGGACAAAGTACTGTGACTATGTGTCCCAGTCCACCCAGCTGTGAATGGGTACCTCGTAAGGATGGGAATGCCACAATACCTCGGTGCGCCTATAGTGGCTGCAAGAGTTGTATGATCCCCAGGGAGTTGAGATTGGCAATACGATGTGCCGCTGAGATTGACATCCAGTGAACGAGGGAAAAACAAAGCGCCTTTGAGCAGCTGAGCTGGATATCGGCGCTATACAAATGTTAGTATGTATGTAGTATGTATGTATGTATGTATATTGTATTCAGCACTGAAAGGGACTCGGCACAAGTTATTCAACTTATTAAAGCCCGCTCCTGACAATCACATGGAAAAATACATGTAATGGACAATGAACATCGGCAAGACATATTACACATGAACTGAAACGGTTACTACGTACAATGAATTTATGGACTAGACTAAACATATTTTCATTTATAGTTTGTGGCAGACTAAGGCTGCCGTACAGAATGGTGTAAATGTCTAAGCTAACTTTTAGGATTTCAAAGCCCTGTATCAAATCAGACCGGCAGCTGACATACTTAGGACTGCTTTAGTCAACCTTGAGGAGGGGTACAGTACATAAAAAAAATCAAAGTTGGTATAGAGAAGGAAGTGATCCTTTGATTTGAAACGACGACAGGCATGTTATTGCGACACAACACTGCATTTAAATAAACATTGAACAGATCAACCAGGGGCTCCTTTCACGAAGCAACCTTTACTAAGGTTAACCTTGACTCCCATTCTTTAACATTGCACTAAGGTTACCTTAATGACTTAAGATCACCTTAGTGCTTTGTGAAATGGGACCCATATCAACCGTCACACCCGTGCTCCCGGTATCAGCTGTGTTTTTCTGTTAAATGTGTTTTCACCACAACACTCCAGTTATGGCGCGGCCTGTAATAATTTAGTCAGGGCCAGGCAATCCAGTATTCAAAATCGTCAACAGAAATCGTCAACAACGATCCCCACGGTCGCGTCCAATGACCTGCCATTACCGAGTCCCGGGCCTGGCCACCAGATCCATTTTGTCGCCTCCGGCACATACTCAGTAGGCTGCTTGGGACGACTCGCAACTCCCTTGGGCCTACAATATAAGCGACCACAAATAGGAAATAATATTTGCCTATGTTATTTGTCGAATTTGAAAGGAGGACATAGAGGTTCGGCAAGCAACTAACTGATGCATCCGTTATAAGATGACCAACTCTCGGGAAACGACAACTCCCCTTTCGACGTTTGTCGAGTGCGTGATCGTCGAATAACGGAACCAGACAGTATAGTCAAGTACACATAATATAGAGACTCATGAGTTATGTTTTCCGTCAGATGAAATATCAAAAGGTAAATAACCCAAGCTGCCCCGTATATACTAATATGACAGTGACCCTGCTACCTATATAGAGATTACTAGTATTATACGTGCTAGTGCGTCATAAGGATTTTGCGAAACGAGTGTCAGAATTCTTGTATTTCCTGAACGAGGGCGAGGGTAATACATGAATTGTTTGTTTGTTTGCTTCTGTCTTTAACGCGACACTCAGCAATATTCCAGCTATGTGGTGGCGGTCTGTAAATAATTGAGTCTGGACGAGACAACCCCATGATCAAATCGTGAGCATCGACCTGCGCAATTGGGAACCGATGACATGTGTCAACCCAGTCAGCGAGCCTGACCCCCGATGACGTTAGTCGCCTCTTACGACAAGCATGGGTTACTAAAGACTAACGCAAACACGGATTTCCACAATACACGAATTCTTACAGTTTTACACTCAAGCCAACTACAGTACTAATTTATTCATTTCCCATTATTCGTATTACACGCAGACGCACACGCACACGCACGCATACATGAAAAACACGATGCTCTCAATTTATCTCTTTTTTTTCACATATTTGTTTGTTTCTGATTATATGTTATTAAACAAATATGTCCGGGAATTCCGACTGGTGGATGTAACACCAAGTACTCTATATGAAAAGTTACCTCTAACATTTCGATGTTATAAGGTGTTAATTTACCATAATATAAAGTTGCTACATTGTACTTACTTTATTACTTGATTTTGTTACAAGATGCCCTTTTGAAACCGAAATAGACATATGGAGTTATATGCTGTTGTTGATGAAACTCAACTCTCGGGTAGACGTAATTGTTCTTGTGGGCATATTGTGACTTACTTAAGTACTTGCTGTTTCTCCCTTGTTTTGTCTGTGGCACTATTTACACGTGAACTCTTTTGGAAGAGCCTGATAGGCATTGCGACCTGCCGTTATACATGTGGGGGAACAATCGTTCAATCCATAATACAAATTGAACCTTTAGTGTGTGAATGTCACTTTGTATTGATGGCCACGCTTTAGGTGGATAATGAACACGTTAAGAAGAAACGACATGTGTTTATTGTAAAACTGACAAAGCTATGAGGTCGGTATGTTATCAACACGTTCCAGTTAGATGCTCATGTTTAGCAGCCAAAGACATACATCTGCGTTTGTTTGCATACGCTTGCAATGACTGGCCACAATTCAGTTTGAGAAAACAACGCTGGCCGACATTACTATTGCAAGTCAGCGTGACAGTGCGTTATACACGTGGACAAAATCACAGGGTCAAATGCATCAGATCGATAACAGAAGAATCAATCATATCCATTTAGTTTATAGAAATTACGTGAACATGTACGTGAGAAAGCTTTTATTACCATTATTTATTTATCTTTAGCTATACATGTTTTTTATATATATATTTATATGAAACAAAGATTTTGTAACTTATGTGACTCACATTTGAATGGAGATGAGTTTCACTATTTGTTTAAATGTAATTATTTTGCAGACATACGTAAATCGTTGTTAAAAGAACCTTATAGTTTCTGGCCAAATTTGTCAAAGTTTCGTCAACTTTTTTAAAGTAAAATATCTTCCCTTAAAAATGTATCCAAGATCATTAAGATTGTTTGTAAACACTTTAATTGATGTATCATTTAGTCATGTTGTTGTACATATCGTAGGTACTCTTTTGTTATACTCATGTACCACCGATGGTGGATTATTTTGAGTAATAAACGTGTGAT